AGGAATTCCATCGGGGACATGGAGGAGGTTCCTGCTAAAAATTGCCCTGTTTAGCAGGAAAAGTTAAATTTTCCAATTTAAAAAATCCTCTTTCTTTGAAAAATTCCCAGCCAGCTCAACCAAGAGCACAATATAGGAACATGTTTTGGCTATCCTGATGCTTTAGAATGATCTAAACTGCAGCAAAAGTAGTGCTGGAGCTTTAAAGGGTGGGAACTCCTTCATCCTTCATAGAAAAGGGAGAGAATAGAGACTCCTTGCACCTCCCTCACATTAGCTGAGTTGGGCGTGGGAGGTGGGAGGATTTAGAGTGGACCCAGGAAGCAGAGAGCAGGAAAAGATGCTTCCTTGCCCTTCCAAAGTCACCACATCTAGCATTAGACCCGAACTCTGGAGACCTAGAGTAGGGCTCATGGCCAACACCATAACTAGGAGTTCATGAATCCTTCCACGTTCCTCCTGCTAATAAGGGTTACAGATAGACTGCCAACCAAACTGTAGCTCTGAGGCCCATCATCTGTACTGGGTGACACAGAGAACAGCTGACAGAAAGCGAGAAAGAAAAGAAGAGGCAGACACTGAAAAAACAACAGATCACTGACAGGAAGGAAAACTGAGAAGATGGGCATAGCCAAGAAATAAAAGGAGGTCTGGCAAAACTGAGAGAGAGAAGAAAAAAATGTTTACGTATTACATGGGAAGCTGAATGAGAATGTTACAATTGAACACAATACCAACGACATAGTAAACCATTGCTTTGTTCTGTGAAGTGCAGGAGGCATCATTAAGAGATGTAGTGTTTCTGCATCTATTTTATACCATACTATATTCAGAACTCTGTTCTCTCCTATTCATTTCTGCTTTGTATCTAACCAGTTCCAAGCTTGCTCAGTGTAGAATTAACTTAGCTTAATACCATTACTGGAACAGTTCCAGTGTGATAGGATGAAGCAAGCAACACTCTGTCACAGCGTGAAAGGCCCATGGCAGATGTTTGTTTAAAGGTGCAACGGGCTCTGATCCCTGATCCCAACAATCAAGCTTCCTGCCTTGCCATACATGCTTGACAGAAAGCATGATTTTGAGATTGAGGCTCAGAAACCAACTGCACCCTTCCTACCTACCAGTGCAAGGGGAGCCCAGGATCATCACCCTGCATTGGCAAGTTGAAAGCTGGGTGCCAGCAAGTCCAGGGCCAGTTTGAGGCCCTGGTGTGATCCCAGGCCAGAATTGACAATCAGCTGATTGTTGGCCCCAGCCCCAGATCTGCCACATATTCAACATAAGATGCCACACAAACCAGCCATAAAATGCTCTATGTTATATGTAGATCATTTTTATGGAAGGTTTCCCATTTTATGGTGCCTTAAATTGCGTACACACGTATTAGTATTACCATTTATGATGCAATTAATATGTTAATCGCTGCATAAATGTAACCCATTGAGGAAAGATAGCTGCTGCAGCCTTAGGATCCCCACACTCAGCAATGTTAATGCCTCTCAATCCTGATCCACAACAGCCCTTGCTGAACTTATAATGAATACTGACTGGTATCTGTTCTGAAGCATGGATGGGTGGGGAGGCTGAGGAAGTTAAAATACCATTCAATGTCTATCAATCTACATTTATGGCAACTTCTTTTGAAACCAGCAAGTTTAATGACTGCTTTTTAAATAAGCCAATAATAAATAAATAATGAACTCAAACTATGTGTAAATTTTATAAATTTACCCTCTCTGCGCATTTTAAGATGGAAATAAATGTTCACTGAGATAAACTCTAAATATGTCCTTACTGCAAAGAAATATTTAGAATATTAAAGACAGGCATGACATCAGTAAAATCGCATACCAGGCAATAGTGGCTGTCCTGTCATTCCCATTGGTGCCATCCCTAGATTGTTCATTGCAGTGGCCCATGCAGCTGGATCTGACATAGGTAAGCCCATTGGCGTAGAGTCCAAGTTTAGATTTCTAACACCATCTGCTGAAAGAAGAGCTTGATTAATTCTTACAATCAGGTGCTCTGCGCTCAGTTCATTCTTTTCTGACACGTGCATTTCCTAGGCTGATTCTGCAGTATCTGCACTAAAAATGGCCTCACCAACTCTTGCTGCTTCAACCTCTACTTGTGCAGTGAGTATCACAACATGGCTGGTGAACAATTAATCCCCTACTTGTGCAGTGAGTATCACAACATGGCTGGGGAACAATTAATCCGGTTTCCCTGCTTCCAGTCATATCCCAGTCTGCCTCTCTAACACCTCCTCTTAAAAGTCTTAACCTCAGTTTAAACATAGGAAGGCCAAAATCCAAACCATCACTACCAAATTCCTGCCTTTCTCTATTAATGGCAACAGCACCACAACTGCAGCACATACAAACAAGAGAAATACAATCTTTGTTGCTTATGCAAGCCAAGCTCTGTGTGTTAACCCACTTTTCATATTACATATTAGTCCTTAAACTACCTACTTGTAAAATATTTTGCAGAAAGGACTTTTTTCATGTTTGTTTCCACCAAAATCCACCAGATTTTGATGTCTAAGAAATTTCTTGAATTACTCACATGCTATGACATTTGGCCAGCTGGCAGAGCCAGTGCTTCAGGAGGTGAAAGCAAACTCGCATTCAGACTCCTTACCCGAGCCAGCAGTAGGGAAGTTTCTGCCTCACTGGGAGCGAGATTCCACAAGATCTGCTCCCTTTCAAAAGGATAGCATCTGACTGAGCCACACACTCTCTAGAATGTCCTTTTCTTCTTGACCCTGCATATTTTCCTCTCTTTGCTGTCCAGAAGGGCAGTTTCAAAAGGTGCACTGAAAAAGAGCCTGAAAAGTGCTTAACTAGCATGTTGGCACACTGTGCTGGGATATCAGTGACATGCAAGATTCAAATCCTCTCTGGGAGAAGGGGTCCTAGAACATGGGTCTGTTGCTTCCTGTGTGAGTGCTCTAACAACTCAGTTGTGGAGGGCTAAACATGGGAGGGGCCTCTTTCTCCAGTAATGTTCATTAGTCAGGGATTTTTTTTTTGTTTGGCTACAATTTCATGACTTACACTTACATGTACACTGGGTGTGCATATGCAGCCATGTACTGGCCTGGTCAATGTGTAACTTACTGCACATATCCAATATATGTACATGTGCTTACAGATTCACACTACACGGATAATAGAGTGTAAAAAAATCACAAGCTGTGTGGAAGTCACTTATACAACTAGCCTAAACTGCCATCTAGGTGCACAAAGGGAAACAGAATTCTACCCAAAATGGCTTTTCAACTGTATTTTCTAATCCCTCAAATGTGAATTTGAGAAAACAGGTACAGGATCACATAAGTAGCAGGGTTACAATGCTGTTGTAGCTGTGATGGTCCAGGAAATGTGAGAGGCAAGCGTTTTTTATTATAACTTTTATTGGACCAACTGTATTGGTCCAAAAGAGAATTCTGACCTCTAGTAACTCAGGCGGAAAAAAGAGAGTGACATGGCTAATGAAGATTGCTGAGCTGCTGGATTCCAGCAATTCTGAAAGCATGTGGCAACAGTGCCACTGATGGGGGCGGGGGGGGGAAGCAAACCAACAACAGCTACTCCTATTCAAACCCTACTTCCAGCTCTCTCCACATCTTGAAAGGAATTTTTTTGAGGCTAAAATTCCTTGTGCTTAGTTTCTATCCAAAACGGCTTTTCAAATAATCTAACAAAACCATAAAAAATTGACTTACAGGAGAACTCTATTCTAAAACAGACTCTCTAGTCAGACACATGACAGAATTCCAGTCTTTTTGGACACTTCAGTAACTCAGAAATGTCTCTTCTTTGTCTTTTGTGACCTCTGCACTGCATTGCAGTGTGAAATACGAAATTAGGAAAGCCTAAAAAGAAACATGATGATACAATAAAATCAGAAGCAGCTAAAAATACACTGAACTGATCCACATAACTCCATTTTTCATAAAGAGAAGTAAGAACCCGACAGAAATACTGCAGTTCCCTAGAAATACACACGCTGGAAATAGGTTAATATGGACAAAGCGGGCTTTGCTGTACAACCCGTCTCTAAGATGGGAAGAGTGGTGTTCAAACGTGTATGTGGAAAACACCTCAAAGAACTCCAGTTACCAGTAGTAAGCTTCCCTTTCTCCTTTCAGTGCTTGTCCACACAGATTCTTAAGCAGGTGTCTCCAAAGCACTGGCAACAAAACCTGCAGGAGGGACTTGGACTCTCATCAGCAAGGATCCGAGTTTTCCAGTTCCCATGGAAAAAAGGAAAAAACCGCAGATTTTTCATTTTAATGGAGAAATACATGGATTTTCCACTCTTGCGAAGAGCTCTCTGCAGCCTGGCAGAGTTCCAGCCTGCAAGGAGCTGGGGGGAGCAGGCAGGGGGCCCCATGTGCAGGTGCACACTCACAATATGGCCGCCAGGCAGTCTGGAGAGCAACTCCCCGCAGGTAAAGGCGGGGGTTAGGGGGCTTCAGACTTGGGTCCCTGGCAGGGATGGGGGTGGGAGTCTGTGGGTGGGGAATGAGGGGCATCAGCAGGCCCAGGGGGCTGTGGGTGGGAAGTGAAGGGCCTGGACTTGTGTCCTGGTGAGCAAAGAGGGCAGGGGGAGCTCTGATTTTCCATGATAAAAAAAACCAAATCAAATACCAAAATGTACAGGTACTTAGAGTTTATTTTTTTATAGTGATTGAGGCACTGGTAGGCTTCCAAATTATTTTAAATTTGTAAATATATCAATAAAATTTTGTGTTCAATGGGGGGGGGGGGGTGCATGCGCACACGCAGTTGTCCAGTGAGGGGTGTGGGGCAGAATTAGCCCAGGGTTCAGCACAAGGCTGGACCACACGGATTAAGGGAACTCGTGGGAACTGAAGGGACTGCGTGGCGAGGCCAGCATGTGAGCAGGAAAGCCTGATGGCCCAGAGGGGTCGCATAAGTAGGAGCAGGATAGTGGAGTGTGGCCCAGTAATGGGCAGCATGCCAGAGGACCCAGTGAGAGAGAGGCAGTGGAAGAGGCCTCCTGTGAGAGGGGAGGTGGTATGAGTGTGCATGGAGCCTAACTTTGGACTCAGTTTGCTCTGGTCTCAGGTTGGGAGTAATTATGTCACCTGAATGCCATCTGCGAGGCTTGGGCTGCGGCGTAGGGGAGGAATGGAGCCGCAGATAACACCCCCTGGCATCGGGGCAAGAACGGGCAGCCTCCCACCTAATTAACACCATAATTATGTATCAACAAGGTGTGGCTGGTAAGGAAGTGGGTGGCTGGCCCAGAACAGGCGGGTGGGCCAATGACCAATCGGCCGCGAGAAAGCTCCCTGTTACACAGACAAAGAGGTCACCTTTATCAGTTCATGGAGTTTAATACAAATGGAAATCCAGTTGATCAGTCTTTGACAGGACATACATGACCCTTTGGATCCCCATGTCCACAAACAGGTATAGGGAGCTTCTACAGAGTTTGTCCTGTGTAGCTAATAAACCAGAGTTCTCTTTATATCCAAGTTACATAAGACTAGAGATGCACCGATACATCAGTACATTTTGTACTGGCACTGATAAAAGGAAAATTCACACTGTCGGCAATCAGCTTTTTTTGTCTGATGTGGCCAATAATGTTGCCAATAAATGCTGTGTGTATGGGCGCAGCCACAGCATGCACACGGACAGCCCAACAGCTTGGAGAGCAGCATCCAGCTGGTAAGTCTGTTGTGGGGGGAAGGAGAGCAGGGAGGTCATATTGAGGCCCCTGCAGTAAAGGAGGGGCCAGGCTTGGGGCTGGGGCAGGCGCTGCCCAGTTGGGGCAGGGGCAGGGCACAGGACACAGCTGTGAGCAGCTCATGTGGGGGGTGGCTCCTGTCGCTGCGCGCACCCCTGGGGGAGGCACGTGTGGGACAAGGGCAGGCTGCCACTGTAGGCTGAGGTCGGGGTCAGCACTAGGCTCTTCCCAATGGGAAGACTGGGCTGAGGCTGCACTTAGGGTGAGCGGTGGCAGCACTGAGAGGGCAAGCTATGGGAGGGCTGCAGCTGCCCCAAAATTTGCTGTAGCCGCCCCGCCCCCCCAACCTCTCCTCCCAGCACCACTACCACCCACCCCAAGCGCAGTCTTGGCCCAACCCCCCTGCCAGGAACAGCCTAGCCCCATTCCTGGCCCCAGCCCACCCTTGGCTCACACACAGATCTCGGGGGCAAAAGTCTCCCATGCCTCCCCCAGAGGTGCACACAGTGGCGGGAGCTGTGGCCCCTGAATGAGCTGCTCGCGGATCCATCCTGCACCCCAGCCCCAGTTCATCCCTCATCCCTCCATGCCACTTACCCACTGGGCTTGCATATCAGCAATCAGATTGCTATCAGCCGATATGACTCATTAATAATGGCCAAAAAAATCTTTATCGGTGTACCCCTACATAAGGCAACCACAGATTTTGAATTGGGCAGCTTGGAAAAAAGACTAATTTTACTGGCCAAGGCTGACTTGGGAACAACTCCAGGCCTTTGGGTAGGACACCTGTATGGACAACAGGTCACATACAGAGTATTCACCGTTAGAGTTAGAATCTCACTAAGTCATCTGGCAGAGGTGACCTCAACAGGGGTATCATCTTCATGGGAAGATTGCATAGACATTAGGGCTGGAAGGGACCTCGCGATATCATCGGGTCCAGCCCCCTGCCCAAGGGGCAGGAAGTCAGCTGGGGTAAGATCACCCCAGCAAAATAAGCATCCAGGCATTTCTTAAAAGAATCCAGAGTAGGTGCTTGCACCACTTCTGGGGGGAGTCTATTCCAGACTCTGAAGACTTGGACAGTAAAGAAGTTTTTCCTTCTGTCCAGTCTAAAATGGTCTTCCAATTGTTTGTGACTGCTAGACCTTGTCATCCCTTGGGGTGCCCTGGTGAACAGACATTCTCCCAGTACCTGACGCACACCCCTTATATACTTGTAGGCTGCCACCAAGTCCCCACTGAGTCCTCTCTTCTCCAGGCTGAAAAGTCCCATGCCTCTCAGCCTCTCCTCATAAGGCCTGCTCTCTTGACCTCTAATCATGCATATGGCTCTCCTTTGGACTCTCTCAAGCTTCTCCACATCCTTTCTAAAGTGTGGAGCCCAGAATTGGATGCAGTACTCCACGTGCAGCCTCGCCAAGATGGAGTAAAGTGGGAAGATGATTTCTTGGGTCTTGCTTGAGATGCGTCGGTAGATGCAAGCCAGAATGTTATTTGCTTTGCTGGCTGCAGCATCGCATTGGTAGCTCATGTTCATCTTGGGGTCAATCATGACCCCCAAGTCTCTTTTGGTCATGGTGCTAGTAAGTGTAACACTGCCAAGCCTGTAAGTATGATGTGGGTTCTGTCACCTCAGGTGGAGAACCTTGCATGTCATTGTGTTAAATGTCATCAGGTTTTGATCCACCCACCTTGTGAGCCTGTCCAGGTCAGCCTGAATCCCTGGCCTATCCTCTAGCATGATCACACTTCCCCATAATTTGGTGTCATCTGCAAACTTAGCCAGTCCGCTTCTGACACCCGAATCCAGATCATTTATGAATATATTAAAGAGCACTGATCCGAGTACTGAACCTGGAGAATGCCTATGACCAGGGAGCCAGCAAACAGGTACCGCAAACAGGGGAAGCAGTTTGCAGACAGTTGCTGCAGGCAAGAGGAGGAAGGAAAAGAGAAGCCAGGAACCAGATCCTGCTCAGGGAAGGTAAGTGATTTTGCTGTCTGTACCTTTGGTTTTACTGAGTGTTTGTTTGGTGGGCTGTGTGTATTTGAGCATATGCTCTGAGAAGCTGAGAGTGGTTGCTAACTGCTGAGTGATTGTTGTGGGATTGCAGCCTGGGCCTGACACAAGCCCTAACAAAGGGGCTGAGTCAGCCCAGGCCAAGAAGGGTATAAAAGGAGACTCCCCAGGCAACCAGGGAGCCTGGGACCAGGGAGCCAGCCAACAGGGACTGCTGCAGACAGGGGAAGCAGTTTGCAGGCAGCTCCTAGGCCAGTTCTTGGGTAGTAGCATAGCCTATTACCATACAATGGTGGGGACACATCGTACCCCGCGGCTTCCTGCCTCTGGGCGGGATGTACTTGAGGGTGCTGAGGGATGAGATTGCAGAGCCATCGGCCATCACCTTTGAAAACTCAGAGCAATCAGGAGAGGTCCCAGATAATAGGAAAAGGACAAACATAATGCCCATATTTAAGAAAGGGGAAAAAGGAGGATCCACAGAACTACAAAGCAGTCAACCTCCCCTCAGTCCCCAGAAAAATCATGAAGCAGATCCTCAAGAAATCCATTTCTAAGCACTTGGAGGAAAAGGTGGTGATTAAGAACAGTCAGTATGGATTTACCAAGGGCAAGTCATGCCTGACCAAGCAGATTGCCTTCTATAACAAGGTGATTGGCTCTGTGGATGTGGGGAGAGCAGTAGATGTGATGTACCTTGATTTTTAGCAAGGCTTTTGATATGGTCTCCCATAACATTCTCGCAGACAAGCTAAGGAAGTACAGGCTGGTGGAATGGACTATAAGGTGAATAGAAAACTGGCTGGAGCTTCAGGCTCAGAGGGTAGTAATCAATGGTTCAATATCTAGTTGGCAGCGGGTATCAAGTGGAGAGCCTCAGGGTTGGTCCCGGACCCAGTTTTGTTCAATGTCTTCATCAACAACCAAGGCATAGAGCACACCTTCAGCAAGTTCCGAATCGCACTGATGGCTCATGTTCATACTATGGTCTATTATTACCCCTAGGTCCCTTTCAGCAGTGGTGCTAGTCAGTTTGGTGCCACCAAGCCTGTAAGTATGTTGGGGGTTGTTCATCCCCAGATGGAGCCCACCGACATCAGGCTTTGGCAGCAGGGGGCTACAGCTGCAGACACTGTCCACCATGCTGTTGCAGGAGACAGTTAAAAGGAAATGCCTGTTAAAGTAGTCTGGTGAAGGGAGGGGCCAGAATTCAGGAGAAAGAGATGGATGGGAAGTTTATACAACAGGAACGTGCAATTTATGGAAGGGAGCGAACTACAGAATGGAAAGTGCATTGCAGGCAAATTTCCTCTGGTTAAGTGCAAAAGGAATCAAATGAGAGGTGATAAAAATAAAGGAGAAGGAAGTGAAGTGAAGAAGGATAGAAGATCTGATAGGATGGGGCTGCAGAATTAGAGGGAGATAGTTCAGTCTTCACTCAAGAGATTATTACGTCTCAAACTTTCAGCACATTTTGTAGTATTCCATGCTATATTCCAGAATTTCAAAACAATCTGAAAACATCTTTTTACTACTGTCTCAGATTCAAATTTCTTTTGAAGTCTTTTTTAAATGATTCCACTAATTCACAAAGGTAGCATTGTATTTCTTCTCTATTCGTTATTATATTTCCAGTTCCTGCCTCTGAAATAATTCTGAAAAAAAAGCTGTTTCCTCATTTACACCTCCTGCTTATGAAGCTCAAATTTTTGACAGTGGAACAACATCTACTGCAATGCTGTACTCGTTCTTTCCTTGATCCCCAATAGGCTTACATGTTTTCATGATTGTCCCACTTATCTCTGTACCTTGCTCTCCTCTACATATAAACATTTTATACAGAAAAATTACACAGTAATATATCAATTTATATTATTTCAGACTGAGATTTAATCATCTTCAGTGATAGATGCTAGGATCTGTCAATCACTTTGATGGGATTATAATGTTTTAATCACAACATTCTCATAATACACTTCCTTTTTCAATCATTCTTTGAAAATAATTTCTCAAATATATGCTTCCATAAAATTGACACTATATCAATTATAATAATTTAATAGATTATTATTCTGGCTTTAGATCATTATGATACATTTAACAATTCGACGTTATTATGTTTTCCAAAATACAAGAGCAACCACTTATTCAAAGTCTTTCTGTGATAAAGCTATTAAAGACACTACATCATTTTGATTAAAGCAGTGGTGCTCAACCTCTGGCCTGTGGGGCCAAGTCATCCAGCCCATGGGGCTCCACAGTACATCTGGAAATTTGACAGTGGGGGAGAGGGTGGCAGCACTAATTCCTGCAGCTACAATACTGTGAAATTTCTGGACCCAGAGGAAGCCCCATGGACCAAATGATAAAGCCCCACATGCCAGATCACAGAGTTGTGGCACTGGGCCAGCACGCAGGGTTGGGCCGCAGCTGAATTCAGCACATGGGGCCAGGCCGGCACATGGGGTCAGGCTGCACCCAGATCCTGTGGATGGGGTCAGGCTGCAGCCATATCTGGTGCACAGGGCTGGGCTGTCGATTGGGTCAGGCTGCAGCTGGATCTGGTGCACAGGGCCGGGCTGGTGCACTGGACCACACACACAGTTTGATCCTACACATCAACCTCATGCTGGATTTAACCCACAGGGCTAGAAAGTTAAGCATCACTGGATTACAGGAGAGGACCACTGTTATGAATGCAATGACTCCATAATAACCCTCTGCAAACAAAGGTAATACACAGATAGCCAGGGGCCATAGACTTTACATACCAGTCGAATCATAAACAGAAATTAGCACTTGAGCAAACTAATCTGGCTGTGAGCATGTACCAGACAGGGACTGTTATTTCTAGCTATCCAGTGACAAATGATGGAAACTGATCTTCCAGCTCTCGGAATGTCTGGCACAGCAGGGACTAAAAGGAATGTTACTTTGACATTTTAAGGAGAAGTACCAGATGATTCCTTTAGTTCCTCTTCCACAGATAAACACGCTGTTTTTCTATCTGCCTTACCTGGTGGGATGGCTGTCCTCTTCCTCTTCTTGCTTGACTCACTTCCATTCTCAATCACACTTTCAGAAAGCAGTGGGCCAGTTGTGTTAGTAAACTGAAGAGGTTCGTTGTTATTGGCAGGATCAAAAGGCAGCTGGTTTAATCCTGAAAAAGAGAGAAAAATAACTGGATTAGGGAGACATGAAGATCAAATAAATCTGAAAAAGGCAGCATCACAGTAACTGGAGATGAGAAAGACACATTAATTCCCATATTCCACGTGTCCCTTTCACACCACTGTAGGACTCTCTCCTTCTATTGGTCCTCCAGAACTGCATCTGACAGAGTTTACCATTACATTGATAATAAGTCTCAAATTTCCTTTGCTCATTTATATTCCATTAGTACTAATAATACCCTGAAGGCCCACGGTAAACATGTCCTCTCACTCTCTGAGGACAGTGTGTCTCTTCTCTCCATTTTGCACCTCCTTTCAACTTAGAAACACAGAAGCCAAAAATGAAGTTTCATCAAGCCTTTATATAAATACAGGACTGTCCTTTATACAGTTTATTGTGTATGATCTAGTTGTACCCAATTTGACATTATTTGCAACTCTACTGGGACTTACCAGTAGCAGAACTGAAAATGCAAGATGGAAATCCTAATGGAGTACCATGTTGTTGAACATAAAATTTGTTTGGAGTCTCACAAAAAATCATTTCCTCTGGCAGCTGAGACACTGGAGCAATTCAGTGGTAGATACTGTATTTTTAGAACGGGAAAACTAATATACAATGGCTTGACCAAACCCCTCATTGGTTTATGGGTAGCACTGGACTACAAGGGAATACCTGGAACACTGAGTCCAGTCCTCTACAAATGCCTAAGTGGTTAGGCATCCATATACATTTTTGGCTATGGTTCTGTGGGTGTAAACAAAGATATAAGCTGTATAAATATCAGTGACACTGATAAAACCTGATATGATGCAACTGTTATACCTGCACCTGTCTATAGTGATACAAGTGTAGTAAAAACTATTGCAGCTTTAACCCTACTTTATTTAGCAAGCAAAAACATTGGAGAGCTTGAGACATGAAACTCAGCATCTTTCCAGATTGCCCCATCAATTGTGCTGCTTTTATATCTCAGTGTGATTGATAGGTAGACAAAATATTCAGAATGAATGCTTCTAGCCGACTATGTCAGCAAGAGCAGTTTCTGAACTGCACAGAGTGGCATTAACTCCCTATGTGGCAACCTACCATAGTGCATCTTTTGCAATGCTAAAAAATAACACTGGTAATTCTCAGCTACTGGATAGCTAAGTAATAACTTTACACACCAGTAAACTCAGGTGACAGGTGCTTTATTCTTACATGTGAATCCCTGGGTTCCAAGGCCAGTACTTTTCTCTACTGACATACAGAATTAACTAAAAGCTTGTAATAACCACGAGCTGAAAAATACACAGACCCGAAACGGATTCTTTGCTACCTCCAAAGTTGGAGGGATTGATGCCGGTGTAAGGAATCATTCCCAAATGACAAGCAAGGCAGCTCCAGTTGGGCTTGGAGCTTAGAGTCACCAGGGGCCAGGAGGATTCCCAGGGCAGGACACAGGCAAAAGCAGATTGAGAATTTTGCAAAGGAGGGAGTGGAAGCAGTAACTGCCACTGCAGAAGTGGCTACACCATCCACTCACAGCCTCTCCCACCTCCCACCAGGGTGGGCAGACCATGCCATAGAAGCAATAGCCAGATAGTTTTTAAGTCACTGTGACAGGGGAAGTAAAAGCCCCTCTAGGGTGTCCCAGACCGCCCCCCCCCAATGGACCCCAAAACTTACTGCAGGGGTCCAAAGGAGTGGCTGCTGGGAAGAAACGCCAGTGCAGGTTCTGCAATTCTGGAGCTGCCTGAGCCTGCGTATTTGCGATCGGCAGGGGTGGGGCTTTGGAGAGGTGTGGGCTGCTCAAAAAGCAGCCGGGAACACTGGTGGCCAGCAGGCGGGGAAAGAGCGGGACGCCAGCCGGGAGATGCCGGCTGCGGAGCTGGGAAGCACAAGGTCCAAGTGCAGGGGAGCAGAGCTGAGCATCTGCCAGAGGACTCCAGCAGACAGGATAAGGAGCGCAAGCCTCAGGGACCAAGGAACGCCTGGGAATGACACCAACGCCCCATTAGGGAACCCAGGTACGGTGGCTGGGGATGGCAGCAAGGAGCTGCTAGCCATCTCAGGCAGCTCAGCAAGGAAAAAGGCGCAGTCCTGCGTGGAAATTACAAGCCCCACCAGCTCGCGAAGAACAGATTGGCTACAGGTTAGCCGGGACCTGGGGGCGATCACACTAGGAAGCCTGACCAGGGTGGGGCATGGGGACGCTGCCCGTCCACACAACTAGTAGGGGGGAAGGAATGGACGAGTTCCCCTTCTTCTTCTTCTCCCCTGAGTGACCACTGGGAGACGAGATCCCAGGGGCCTGCCGGTGGAGGCCGGACACTTTCTGTTGGGGTCATTTTTAGTTACAATCAGCCCCAAACTGGGGCAGGTTTAGTTGCCCAAGCCAGCCCAAAGTTGAGGGACCAGCCGCTGGGAAGATTGTGTTGCCTGGGAAGACCCGACCCATTCCGAGGCAGGTGGTGTGGATGAGACGAGATCATCCAGGGGAAGACCTGCAGGGTACAGCATTTGCCCAAGGCCATGGATGTGGTACGGGTGGGGTAAAGGGGAGGTTTGGAGCCCCACGAAGAAAGACCAGGGTCGAGACCTCTTGGCTTTGGAGGGCCACCTGCAGGGAACTGCCTCCCCAGTAAAGAACATCAAAGACATGGCAGACGAGTAGAAGCAGCGCCTGAACCATCTAGGTGGCACCAGAACCTGATCTCACCCTGACATCGCTTGGGGGCAAGGTACCTACCAAGAAGGGGCCGAAGCCCTACAACACCTACAAGCGACAGTCACCAGAGCAAGTAAGAATTTCTCCTCTTCCCCTCACTGCTCAGAAGTATGTCCCCTCCCCTCCTCTCTCCCACCTGCTGCTGCCACTATGTCCAGGGCAAGGGGAGCTCCAGAGCCACTCCATCTAGGCTGTGCAGGGGCAGTGGCAGCAAGTGGACAGGTTCCACCTGTTCACACCTGCTTCCAGGCTGGTAGGGAACACCCAGAGGGACCAGGTAGGGAGGAGGAACCTGCCCACCCACCACTACTACTGCTGGCACTTTCCCTAGCTAAGCCTAGCCCATGTGCAGCCTGGCTGGAACAGGCCAGAAACTCCCCTTGACCTCAGGACACAGGGAACAGCAGCAGTAGCAGCAGGTAGCAAAGGTAGGGAGGGGAGGGGATGTGCCTGAGTACAGAGGAAGGAATGGGGAAAATTCTTACCTGCTTTAGGGATTTTAAAAGGTCCCTAGGATGCTGCTTCTGCCATGTGGTCTGAAAGAGGGGTGTAGCTGCACCACTGCCCCTTCTCTAGATCTGCCCCTGGACAAATGCTAGTGTAAGGTAGAATCCAAGTTGTGATCTAGTTTATAAGAGCTAGTATATACAAAAACTCTAAGAAACACCCTCAGTATACAACTAGATGTAATGCCATACTACAGGGATGACCCTATTATTCTACTGATTCACCAGGATCCAGACATTTCTGAACTACTTATGTACAGCAGAGTCACCAGAGCCAGAAACTTTGCACTTGGCTGATCTGGATAGATTGGTACACAGTGGTTCTGAGGTAAATGTGCTTCACCCTTGACATTAGAAGAATCTTGAACCTGTGATGCTACTTATGTCAAAAACAGAAAAACAAACTCGTCTAGTGGCCTTGGCACCACATATGTCCACCACCAGAATCACTTCAGCTGAACACAGAACCCTGGCAACCAAGATGGCTCCAGTGACTTCTGTACTCAACACACAAAGCACTGAAGTCTTGTAATTGGATTTGGTCATCCCAGCAGATCCAAGGCTCTTAATGAGCCCATATAAGATCCAAGGCTCTTATTTAATGAGCAGTTCTGTAAGAACAGTAGCCAAATCCTTAGTACTGGACTAGATCAACATACAGGTTTCCCTTGCTTTATGCTGTACATGCATTCCTGGAAAACAGCACATAACTCGAATTTGCATAAAGGGAACCCACTTTACAATGGAACAAATAGGAATACGTTCCAAAACCTTGACTGTGCTGACCCCCAGACTCATTTCTGCTACTTTCACAAGACAATTTTGGTCCTCACCATCAGCAGACAGTACACAGAAGCACAGGGCACTATCATAATGGGGATGGCAACTACAGAAACACGTGTCACAGACAACGAGCAAGGAGCACAGATCCACACAGGAGACTATATTTTGGTGCACAGCACTCCAACAATGCACCGCACCAAGCAGCTGACTGCGGCCTTCCACCACACTGATCGCATAAGAGTGAATTTTCCTTGCTTATAACAAATTTTTGATATAAAAAGGGTCACTGCATGAGTGAATTTGCACATACAGAACCCGCATAATGTAAGGGAAACCTGTAGGTGTATTCAGGAGACTCTGTGCTGCTCTTTCTGAGCACAAAACCACTTTAGCCAGTGGTGAGGTGGAAAAGCGGGGGCAAAGGGATAGAGTAGAATAGAACCCGCTAGCTAGGAACAGGATGAGAGACTGCTCAGAAGCACAGCATGGTGCATTTCATCTTCCCTCATAGCTTTCTGCTGGCTGTATCGCACGTTCTTCATTTGCAAGTGTTTACATCTGACTGGAATTTTGGCGATGATCCCAAGTTAAATCTTGGTTACACAGTCTGGACAGGTGGGCGGTTGTTATTTCAGCCCTTAGTGACTATAAAGCCAGTCTGATTTCAAAACATGCTTGAAGGCTGAGCTCTGACATTCCCACTTTAAGGGTTAAACATGATACAAAAAAGTGTGAGGCCTCATCATCCTGACTGGGCATGAAGTTCATAAGCAGGATTTGATATACAAATGCAGATGATTTGTAAAATGTAAGCTAATGCACACACCGTCTTTTTCACATGCAAAAGAAAGATGAGCATAATTTGATTTAGTGCAGAAAACTTATAAAAGCCAAATTAGTTTGGGGTGGAAGTGAAGATTGCTCTAAAATATGAGAGTTATATAAAACAAGAAAGGAGAAGCTGAAAGTAATAAATATAAACGA